TTATGTTATTTTCTGTATATATATATTATTATTATTATTATTATTATTATTATGATTATGATTATGATTATTATTATTATTACTATTATTATTATTAGCATGTATGTATATATATATATAGAGAGACATGTTTGATATGTTTGTTTGCACAAATGAGTACATGCACACATCTGTATGGATGCATGCACGTGCACATCTCTATAAATGTATGTTTGTATGCATGTATGTTTACATGTAGCAGACGATCGAGAAGGACAAGGCATCAAAGCAAAAAGAATCAGGCTTCAGCTCCGCGACCTCCGCCTGCGGCCGGGCCTTGCGCTGGGATCATGCCTTGGTCTCTTGGTTTCTGTGCAGAGGTCGTGGTTCGGGGTTTGATGCCAGCGGGTTTAGGAATCTGGTGCGTTCGATTGATTGTGCATCCAGTTTTCCTGTGGTCGCCACGGTTGACAAGGCATGATGCGTAGTTTTGAAGTGTGTGAATCGGAGCCGTCCGTGCAAGCCTCAGACTGCAACAATGCTATAGTGCTGCGCTGAGCCCTGAGATTGCCTAGTAACTGCGTGTGAGCACGAGACAACAAAGAGCAGCAACCTAGCTTCAGAACACTAGTCACGCGTCACTAGTGAGTGTCCAATGTTGTTGGGCCGCAGCCCACATAAAAATTTGCAAGGGCCAAACTTGACGTGAACTGGAGTAGTTTTCAACTAGTAGACAGCGCCCGCCCGCTAGGCGTCCAGGCATTATCAGAGGTCACATTTGAGTTGCTGAGCCGGACTCTTTTGTTGTGCGCGATGCAGTTTCAAATCTTCTCACCTGTGGGAGGGGTTATTGTATACTAGAAGTACTATAGTCACAAGCTATCTTCTGGACGGGGACCACAAGTGTATGCCGATGCTTTCACGGGATCCGAGGCTCTTCTAGCGAGCATGCCGGCCATGCAGCTGGTGTCCGCGTCTCGCTGTGGTTTGCGGTGCGGTTGTGAGAGCTGCGTGGGGCAGTCCGGATACATCGCCGGAGCATGAGATGCCGGCAGTGTCAAAGCTGGAACCTCAAGTCAGCATCTCCGAGGATTTCGTGAGCCGCAGCACCGTGGTTGCAGCGTGCGCGAGTGCGTTGAGCTGGTCTAAGGCTCGGCCTTCGATCTGGCGCGTTGCAAGTTGAAGCTCCCCAACCCAACATGAAACCCAGGAGTAGATCGGAGGACACTGCTTGAACCACAGATGTGCAACAAGGGGAAGGGTGCTGGCTCTTGATTATTCACGTATTTCTTGACGCTTGTGGGTGTTCATGCCGGGTGCAAAGCTGATGACTGCAAATTAGCTGGCACTGCCACTGCAACCAGTGCACTCGACGAACGGAAGCACCGCACTGCTCCATACTGGCCACATGCAGCACAATGAACGCAGTCGCGTAGGCCCTGTCTTTGGCCTTGGCACTTCGTGAAGAGGCCGGGTCTGGCTCTGTTGACACCTGCAAACCAGGTAAGCTCTGCCATTCAGCTTGTTGCATTGGACGCATTGCTCCGCTTGTTTCCGTGTATCGCTGCGCCCCCTCCGCAAAGCACGGTCGCATGCTTGTTGAGTTTGCATCCGAACTTTTCAATGCGTCGGGTTCTTGGATTTTTGCTCATCGCGAAGCGTCAATCTTGCGCCGGAACTGAAGCCCAAGCCGGTTGAAAGGGCCCATCAAAAGCACGACACTTCAATGTTGAAAAGATGAGCTCCGAAGTCTCATCCACTGCACCACTGCGCCAGGCGCCTAACGGGCAGACTCCGAATGGTACCTTCGATTGCACTCGTCTCCGTGGCGCTTCGGGACTAGTGACTAGTTCTGGTCTACAATGAATCAACCCCTTCCTGGAGCGGAAGACGAAGAGCAGAAAAGCCGACAGGTATCCCTTTGCCAATCCCCGAACAAGCTCGCAAGCTTACTTGCTCTGCGGCCCCCACTAATGCTAACTGAACAGTCAGCAGCCGAGGAATTCTGTGGGGCGGTGTTCTCAGTGCGATGGCTCGAGCGCAGCAGGCTGTGGGGGACTGACGTAGCAGACTTGAAAAAGTAGAGTCGCGCAGCCCAAGAAGAGCAGGAATGAAATGGCAAGGGAAATGGGCGAGTTATGAAGCTTTGTGGTTTGAGACATTCAATGCTTTCTGCAATCTTGTCCCTGCTTGTACTCTGAACTCTGCGCTCTTGGGTAAGGTTTTGGCAGTGAGCGGCAATGTCAAGGTTATGGTCAAGGTGTGTAAGAAAGGAGTAGAAAGTCAAAGGCGGGAAGTTTCCAAGAGTTGATTGTCCTGCAAAGAACCATTCCAATCATTTCCAACCATCGCAGCAGCCACGGAGTTGTAGCAAGGTGGACGTGGTATCGCTTTTATCAAGCTACACCGGTCGCCATGGGAGTTGCGACACGAGCGCGGCTTTTCATGGCCAAGCAGAGCAAAGACCGAAATCAGAATGCTGATGCGGTTGATGCTGCCAGTGGTACTGGCTGTGATGGCGATAGTGAGGCATGAGTGAGACTGATAAGTGCGATGGTAGCCATGGGAATGACGTCAGTGCTTCCAAAGATTCGAACAAAGCATCTGCACTTGCTACTGAGTGTCGTTACGGTGACCACTTTAATAGCCCAAGTGCATGTGCAGCAAAGCGGGCATCTTTGCAGTTGCGGCAATACCGGTCGCAACAACGGTGCAAAATGATGACATGCCGGCAGTCATAGTTGTGGCCACCTTACTTGTGATGACCTGAGAACACTAAGCAGCGTTAACGGCCTGGAGATGACAAGGCTGACTGGAGCAGTACCTCAGTACCAACCACTGCGGTCGGAATCAAGACAAGGGCAGTGATAAGCATGAGCGCATTCACAATGATGGTAGCAAGTTCCACACAGTGGTGACCTCAGTGGTGGTCTTAGTTTCTGGCAAATTGCGCGTACAGCTGGAGGCCCGAGAAACGACGTTTCCTGCAGAACTTTACGATAATGGGCTGAATGTTGAAAGTGCCAGTGCCAGAGGCTCGCTTGTTACAATGTGCCCAGCGAATGCGCCCCGCGCCAGCCAGCCCCTCCAGGTTGATCACATTTCTGGAACTCGCCCCCTCCTGTGTGGATTCCGATTCGGCACATTTCTTAAAGCCACACCCTCATTTGGCGATCCTGTTTCACCACCTATCTTAAGCGTGCCCTCTCGTTATAGGCGACCCCGGTTGATCATAATTCCTAAGCCCGCCACCTCTCTAGTCGATCCTGGTTGATCACTTCTTTTAGCATCCCCCCCCCTCAATCCAGGTTGTTCACATATTTGGAACGACCCATATACATGTAGCTTAAACCCACCTCTTATTAGGCCATCTTGGTTGATCACATGTCTTACACCCTTCCTTTGGCCATGCCGGTTCATCACATATCCTAAACCCGCCCCTTCATTCGGCGCGATCCAGGTTGGTCACATATCTTAAACTCGCCCCCTACTGCGATCCAGATTCATCACACGTCTTAAATACGCCCCCTCATTTTGACAATGCAGTTTCACCACTCATTTTGGCGATGCCGGTTGATCGCATTTCTTAAACTTAAACCGCCCCCTCATTTGGCGATGCGGGTTGGCAACATATCCAGAACCCACCCCGCTTTGGCGATGCCGGTTGATTGCATTTCTTAAACCCTCCCGATCCTGCTTCACTACTTACCTTAAGCACCCCCTCTCAGATCCTGGTTGATCACATTTCTTAAACCCGACCTCTCATTCGGCGATCCAGTTTCATCACATGCCTTAAACCTGCCCTCCTCGTTTGGCGATCCATGTCGATCACATTTCTTACATTTGGCGTTCCCGGTCGATCACATTTTTAAAGCCTGCCCCCGCATTTGGCGATCCCCATTCGTCTCATATCTCAAACCTGCCTCGCACTAGGCGATCCGCTTGCTCACATGTCTTACACTCGTCGCCTCATTCGGGGATGCTCGCATATTGACAATCCACCCCCTCATTAGGTGATCCCGGTTGATCACATTTCTTAAACCGGCCCCTCATTTGGCAATCCCGCTTGATCAAAATTCTTAAACCCGCCCTGCTTTTGGCGGCCCCCGTTGATCACATTTCTCAAGCCCGCCCCCTCATTTCGTGATCCCGTTTGAGCACGTCCCCTCAGGCGATCCCGGTTGATCACATATCTTAAACCACCCCTTCATTTGGCCATCCCGATTAAACCATCTTAAACCCGCTCCCTCATGTTGCGATCCCGGTTGAGTTCAACCCAGCGCCAGCACGAGCGCCAGCGCCCGCCATCGCCAACACCCGCCGTCCCCAAGAAAACGGCAAGCGCAGCACCAGCCCAGCGCCAATGCCAACGCACGCCAGTGCCATTCCCCACAGGAACACACAGCGCCATCGCCAATGCTCGCCGTGGTCTTCTCATCCAAGCCAAATCACTTTCCCTCCTGCCAGGACACTTCGGAGCTAGCAGAGAGCCTTCGCAGCAGCTGGGGGACCGCAGAGGAGATGGAGTTGGCAGAGTCTGGAGCAGCTGGGACCGAATGATTTAGGGTTTTTAGCGTGGAGCTGGTGCGTCTTTAGGTCTGTGAGGCGGTCCCTTCAAGTTTTTCGTGCAGGGTATGGAAGTGCATGGATATACGGACGTACATATGTACGTATGTGGCTATGTACGTATGCGGGTATGTATGTATGTAGCTGCGCTTGCATCAATGTATGTACCTAATGTGTGTACAGGTATGTTTGCATGCATGCATGCATGCATGTATGTATGTATGTATGTATGTATGCATGTCAATGTATGTCAATGAATGAATGAATGAATGAATGTCTGTATGTATGTATGTATGTATGTATGTATGTAGGTAGGTATGTATGTATGTTGCGAGCTAACGGGAGTGTCTGCGAGTGCCTCTGCGAGTGCAGCGTAGCAAGTCTTTCTTGCATGTTTGTACATAATTCGATCGCCAATAACTGTTGGTTCAAGTGCCTTGTGTATCTGGGTGTGCCAAGTATGCACGGTAGTACCGGTGCAGTCGTCGGTGGTTGCTGCCCTGCGGTCTTGCCGGACGCGGGCACGCGTAGGGACTGGAAGGAGCTAAAACTCGCGAAGGCGAACAGTAGAGAGCCCGTGTTTGGTCAGCTTTGCAAGACCGGGTTTCTTGGCTTCACAATGTATGTATGTATGTATGTATGTATGTATGTAAGTATGTATGTATGTATGTATGTATGTATGTCATCGTATGTCATTGTATGTCATTGTATGTCATTGTATGCATGTATTTATGTCAATGTATGTCGTCCCAGACCTCGCCTGACGTTGTCGAGCGCGAGAGTGAAGAATGTATGTATGTTGGGATGTAACAAGATGAATGGATGTACATAGCATGTATGTGCAGATGCAGATGCATGTTTGTATGCATGTGCACTTGCTTATCCTGCCCTCCTCCACTCCCTACCTTGATCAGCTGGGCTATGTCGATTCGTCACATTTGACAACCCTCGACATTCCTGATTTCCGCGTTTCCGGACTTCCAGATTCTCCAGATGACAAATATTGCATATACCACTACACATATTGCATGCATTGCCGATATCCCGGCATGTTTCACCACACACATTGCACACATTGCTTCTGCCGCTGCTTTTGCTAGACATGTTGCACATATTACGCACATTAGTTCTAACATATTACACATACTGCTTGTATTCTGTTTAGTGTATATATATATACACACGACATTTAGTAAATTCAATATAAGTACTACACATATGACGCGTATTGCTTATCTAACACTCATATTGCGCATAGTTCGTTTATTGCACAACCTACATACCATCTGTCACACGTATGACTTTACATACGGTACTTACATTACATACGCTACATACATCACGTGCGTGACATACAGTTCATGCAGTCATACATGCATGGCCACGTACTTATATGTACCTTCTTGCATACGTGCGTGCGCGCACACACGCATGCGTACAATCATTCACTTCTTTGCATAAGTACATACATACATGCATACACGCCTACAAACATGCCTACATTCATGCGTTCGTACACACATACATACATACATACATACATACATAGTCATGTATAGCCTAATGGCATTTGGGAGTGCAGGAATCGAAGGCCTCAAAAGATGGGATGAAGGTCGGTAGGATGAAAGATGCCTTATATGAGGACCTTGATTAGGAATAGCCAGCCCGCCGCTGGAGCCCTCTGAAGGAAAGGGGGAAACAACCGTCACTATGAATGTTGTTCTTTATGCCGTTCTCGTGTCGCATTGGCTCGCCTTATACTGCTTTACATTGTGCGTACAACGCGTGGTGTTTTTCTCTGGCGTACGGTTATGCTACGCAGAGGAACACACCTTGTCACGTCCCGCCGCTTGATGTAGCACACGGTTAAGTCGGCACACATGGTACCTTGAAGATGCCCGAGAAGCAGGGCCTTCCACACGAGAAAGGCAGAACGGCCGCTGACATCTGGCTGTTTGAGGAGGGCGACGGAGAAGAGCAAGGCAGAAGAAACGGTGCTGATGATGTAAGGCTAGACACAGCAAGAAAACATGGAGGGCGGTTGGGCTGGGCTTGTTGGCTTTAGGCATTGACCTTGAGCCAACCAGGATGATCCAGGAACGGAGCACCAAAACATATCATGCACGCCTCAGAATGCCGCAGCATGCGCCGAAAACTTGGTGTTGATCCGAAGCGTTTTTACCAGCACCAAGTCGCATCGGCTTGGAATGCAAGTGTGGGCCAGCTGAGGAAGAGTTGGGTGGAGGCCACGTCTACAGAAGTGCTTCCGATCGGTTTGGGGATCGTTGGAAGTTTAGCATATTGGGTTTATGGGTTTAGGTTTCTTCGCTCGTCTCGTTGCAAGCAGCCGTGTGGGACCTGCTAAGCAGTCTCTGACAACTTACGTGGCTGAAGGAATGAGTATCTAGGTCTGAGAGCTTTTTCAGTGTGTGTGTGTGTGTGCACCATTTGTACGATTATTGCTGCGCTCTGGCTCTGGCGATGATGAACCCATAGCTGCTCTTCCTGTCTGCCGACCTTGAGAAGTGTCTCGAAATAAGCCTTCGCAGACCTTTCATGGCGGGGCTTTAGATGCCATATCACGAATCAGGGCAGTTGGCTAGGTCAAATGGTTCCCCCTCGCCCGTTTCTGTTGAGCAAGTTTGTATCTCACTCAATAACGGGCAATCCCCTCCCTGCCTCAGCCCCCACAGTGCAAAAAGCAATGGCACGAATAACAATCGTCAAGTTCGCACTCCAGCCTCAACGGAAAGCATTGTTAGACGTTTCAACTAGACTAAGAAGGCACCGAGGAATTTCATGTTTAGGCCCCCCTAAACAATATAGACTTTCAGCCATACAGCCTGGTGCAGAAACAAAGCCTATAAAGGCCTTCAATCCTGGGGAAGCATGCCTTAAAAGCCGTGAAGACCCCTTGAAGGAAGCCGAGCTCGCAGGCCTGCGTTACATCGGTGCTGCTCCCGGGATTCTGGCGGTGGCGAAGCCGGCGGGGCTCCTTGGATTTGGAATCGGGGTTTCGGGATTTCTGGGAGGGCTTGGTGGTTTTAGGGCTGGTTTTGTTCAAAATCCTAAACCCACGCAGCATCACGCAGCCATGATTGGTTGTTCATCGGTACATGGCTATGCTTATGAATAGGTGTCCTGTGATGCTTTGGTTGATCCGTCCTGATGTCTGTGAGCACTGTGATGGAGCATCGCATGGCATCCTGTGAATCTGTCTTGCCACGACCTGTCGTGAAGCCTTGCTTGTGAAGCCTAACAAACTTTGAAAGTCTTTGGGGCTGTAGCCTGTAGGAATCTTTGGGCTTCGGCAACAGGAGTTTAAGGCCAGAGGATGTCATAGTGAGTTCGCGGTTGGCAGTGGCGTATGGGTCTGTCGAGGTTAGGGCCACGGGGGCTTCGGGCTTCGTGGCTTGAGGGTTCAGGGGTGGGGGGTACCCGGCAGTCGCAACTTCTGGATGCAAAATAGGGCTGTTTAGGGCTGCAGTTCTTCAGCAAGTCAGGGTGTAGGATGTAGCGCTTTGCTGCTTCGGTGTTTGATTCCTTAGGGTTTCGGGGTTCAGCGTCAGGGGATTTCGGGTTTCAGGTTTTCAGGGCTCTGACCGTGACCGGCTCTGACCAGGTCAGAGCTAGAGCTGAGCACCTCTTAAAACAAATTGCGTTTCGGCTCGTGAAACCCGGCGTAGAGTCTCGGGCTTGAGTTCACGCTTCCTATCTCGGGCTACACAAGTGCATCCAAGGATCACCTCTGAGGCTGTCGCCTTGATGCATCTAACGGCTTCTCATGTTCGACCGAAGTGTTGTTCCGAAGTTTACGCGATCATACACGTTCTTGATTCAATCCCAAGAGAGGGCGCCAAAGCGCGCAAGGCAGCGCGCATGGCCCTAGCAAAAAACACGTTCTTGATTAGACTAGATTTTGCAGTGCAGTTTCTTTGAAGGGCTTCGTCCAGTTCTGGTTTTTCTCACGTCCAAACTCTGGGACGCATGGGACCTGCACTGCCCGAGGTCATGCAGCTGGTGTCAAGGCTTGGGTCAAGCTGTGCTCGGATTCTGGGAGGTCTGCGGTTTAGACAAACCTGCAGAACCCTTAATTCTGTGGCCAAAAGCCTTCCTCAACTGGAGGCTCCTATGAATAGCACCCCAGTCGTCAACCCAGCCGTCAGGCAAGACGCCCTCGCCAAATTGCTGTTTGCGGCTTTGTGCAGGTGGCTGGCACAGCGAGGCTTCAATGCCGAGATCATGAGGCGCAGTGCCATTATCTGTTTAGAGCGGAAGGGAATGGCTCTGGCAACAGGTTAGAGAGCAGTGCAAAGTCCGAGAAATGTACAGGCAACGGCGGGATGCCTCGCTTTTCGGAATTCTGGGTCAGAGATATGAGGGCACTTGGGTCAGGCTTCTGGGATGGAAAAATCAAAGCCATCAACGCCAGACTCTCCCGTCTGGATGCGCCGACCTCTGGTGTGCTGCCTGTGGCAATGGCTCCAAGTGGATCAGGCGCCGTAGTCGCAAAGTCTTGGGCTCTAATTGTGGGTGCACAGGGTTCGCTTGCGATTTTCTTGCAGCTGAGCGTGGGATTCCCAATCCTCCAAGCTCCTAAGCCCTCGCAGGTTTTGGAGCTTTAGTAGCCTTCCGAGTTGCGAGAGTCCAAGCCACACCAACCTCCAAAAACCCAAACTTCCTCAACACCCTCGACTATAGACTATTGGCCGATGGAGGAGTCGCGAGCTGGTACCAGCTGCTCTTCGCTGCACGCAAGGTTGTCGAAGGGATCATTGACATGACGACGCACACCGTTGCTTTTGCAGCCCAGACTTCTGCTAGTGTCATTAGTGTCCTTGTTAAAGATATTACGACTACTATGAGCATGTTCTCGGCGTAGGCCGGGTGTAGTGGGAAGTTGTCTTGGCGTGTGTGTTAAATTCGAGGCTGACGAAAGTGCGCACAGATGCAAGAAATTTTGTCCTTTGGACCAGTGGCTCAACCAAGCGGAAGCTATTTGGGTGGCCAAGCAGATAATATAGCAGAGTAGCATTGTGGTTCAGGTTGCTTTTCATTTGTTGATAACATTGCTCTGAGCAAGGTTGTCTTCTTCCGCTGCTGCCGCAGCAGCAGTGGTAGCAGCAGCAGCAGCAGTTCTTGTTACCGCTGCTGTTCTACACATGCATGCAAGATGTGTATGTGCGTGCGTGTGCAACTATTTTCATACACATACATGTATACATGTGCACGCGAACACGCACACACACACAGAGACACACACACACACACAAATTCCAACTCTCTGTCACACACACCCATACATATATATATATATATATGTATATTTGTGTGTATGTATGCATACACATGATAACATGTGGGTGTTTTCGTGCTCATATAGAATATATATATATATATATACATTTATGTATACAATATAGATACCTATACATACATATGCATACACATGTAAACATAAGTTACAATCAATCAGTCATTCAACCAATCAGTCTATCTATCTATCTATCTATCTGTCTATCTATTTATCTATCTATCTATCTATCTATCTATCTATTTATCTATCTAATCTAATCCAATCGAATCTAATCTAATCTAAGCTAAGCTAAGCTAAGCTAAGCTAATCTGATCTAATCTTATCTAACCTATCTACATGTACACGCGGAAACATGACGAAGACGTTGGCGGGCTTTTGCCATTTCACTTCGAAGTCTTCGGCGCGAGGCAACATTCGGTTTTGGTTTCGAACTAGAGGACATCTTCGCGTGTCTGCCAAGTCAATGTTGCTCATGAGTGCATAAGGCAATCAATACTGGCTGAAGGAAAAAATCACAGTTCATATGCTAAGCGGAATCGTGGTAAGAGTGGTACATGTTTTGGTGCAGACTGACTGCACCCCTTGCCTTCCGAGCTCGCAGGTCGTGAAGCAATACTTGCTCGTGTGCTCGGGGAAGCCCTTAGCGGAAAGCGTGCGGGGTGTCATCGTGGCTTGGAAAGCATCAAGCAGTTTCTGCGTGGGTCCGCCTGACCAGATTTGGTCGCTTCCGCCAGAGTTCCAGAGTTCAGGCTTCGATCCATGCTACTGGGCCTGAGTCTCGAGGCTCCAACGCGCGAGAACCCTTAAGCCTTTCAAGTGTCATACTGCAAGACTGCCTGAGGCACTTTGAAGTTGAGTGTGTTTGCGATGCACGTCGCAGTGTCAGGTGGCGCCATTGGCCAGCGGCCCATCGACTGAAAAGTCCGCCACTAGTCCAATTGGAGTGGCTTTGATTTCCCGGCTGTGGAGTTCGGAAGTTCGGTTTGAACATTTTGGTGAACCTGCTCACATTGAAAGCCATGGTACGAAGGGCTTCTAATGCGTGCTGCTTAAGATGGGGGCTTTCAGGAAGAGCTCCAGAAACCCGTATCCCAGGCCATGAAGACCATCTGGTCGTCTGCTGGGAAAGAGGCCAGCAAGGGTTCCAAGGTCCAGCATGTTGTGCAGACTGCGGAGGCAAGGACGGAGTACGAAGTACTGCGCACCTTCACCTCACCGCTGCAAACTTTGATGCTGCTGAAAGCAGAGCCGTGCCTCGCTGTGCACTCAAGCGCTGAGCTCGCTGAGCTCTGCTTGCCTCCGAGCAATTCGAGCTCTCAGCAAGGCACACCGGGCGGACGCACCAAATCCGAGCACACCTTGCGGGCATTGGGCGCCCGATCCTGTGCGACCGCACATACGGAGGCACCTGGCACATGCTCTTCCTTAACCGTTGTGTGGTGGACTAGTGACTACTGCAAGTACATTTTTGAACATGCAGATGCAAGTGCAGTCGACCATGGCCAAGATGGAGGCGTCAGCCATGTTTTCTAAATTTTGGCATTCATTTCTTTCATGCGGAAGCATCTGACAACCTTGACTGGCCGAGCGGTGCATGCACCCCAGCCTGGACACATGTGAACGAGAGGAATATTCCCTGCTCCATCTTGTAGCGGCACTATCCCCATGACCAGCCCTTCGATGCCTGCCGCTACGCAAAAGACAAGCACAGCCTGCCATAATGCATAGTGATTGCAGTGCATCTTCTTCTTTTTTCCCCATGGTGATTGTTTTGGTATCTGCCTCGCATCTGCATAAGAGCCATCATTGCCGTTACAATGTGCGGGCTTTGCCTACACGCAAGCTGGAGAGAGCCGTGTTGCTTGTCGTACATGTACATATGCACATTTACGACGCATGTCTGCATGTAGGTATGTAGGTGTTTATGTATGGATATAGGCACGTATGAAGTCATGACTGTATGTATCTATGTATGTGTGGATGGAGGTGGATATATGGAATTCTCCGTGTGCGTTCTCAGGCTTCGACCCATCTTGGTGCCCCCGCCTTTTCCTCCACTGTCGAAAGGTGCCTCGGCCAATCATAGAGTTCAGCGTCCCGCACAAATTTCAGACCACCTGTTTTTTTGCAAAGGAATGGAGGGACGAGACCAATAGCCTGAGGCTATTCCGAAAGCCCAGCCAGGTCACTTTGCAGGATGCAGCCGGCCGCCCCTTCACCGCTGAGGCGCCCCTTCCGGCTGACCTGCAGGAGGTGCGGGCTTCTTGCATCCTTTTCCCAACGCAATCTAGAAGTGTTATGACGCTCATTCGGATCTAGGGATGTCGAGGGCCGAGCTGCCTAGATTCTGGCCAGTCAAGCTGGATGCCTGCACCAACACACACATCTGCCAGTGGATCTGCCAGCTTGGAGTGTCAATAGAGGAAGGTTGATGTATGCTGCTTCATACATTCATTCATGCGCGCATGCATACAACCTTCGCTGGCCTTGGCCACGTGCTTGCTTCCAGTTGTGTCGACGGTTGCATGTGTGAGGCCCTGGATCATTTGCGAGATCTGGCCGCAGCTGGCTGAATCAAGATGATTCCGTTAGATCCTCAGCAGCGGATCAGACTCGTTCAGGTTCTTTGAGCCTGAGGCCCTCAGACAAAGGAGTTGGAGGAACGGACGAGCTGATGTTTCTTTCAGGGTTTTTGCCGTGCCGCATGCATTGGACCAGAGCAGTTTCTAGGGGTTTCTGCCACAGGCAGTGGTTCCGTTTTCGTTGTCGGGGCAGGGTGTCAGAACTATTGAATTTGGTAGTAGAGAAGGGCTCCGTCTCGCTTATTAGGCTTTGGCTGGGGAAACATTACACAGCTACCCCTCGTAGAGTTTAGTATTTGCCACCGTTCGCCACCCATCATACCATGCTACGGTTTGGGGATCCTAATCAGGTCCTAATCACGGTTCGGGGTTTATCACCCTTATGGGTTGAAGCATCTCCTGTTGCTTGGGGTGAGTTTTTTGGGTCCAGGCCTTACCGCCCATCTCGTTCGAAGCTAAGGGCGACTACCAGACCAGTGATACCTTCCTTGTTCCCTCCCTGGTGCCCTTCTTCCGACAGCTTCAGCTTCCGGGAGCTGCCGTCATGAAGAAGACGTCCTACACTGTCGACATGTGTGGACTGCTCACGCATGATGAACTTCCGGTCTCCTGGACGAGACGTTTGGCTGTGCCTGCGCAAAGGGATCTCGGCCTCCGGGCAATAGCCTTCATAAGTACAGCGCCTACTAGAACGGAAAGCCGGCAGCTCTGGAAGATTGTCAGCAGCGATGGGACGAGCAGCCGGCATTGTGAAGACTTGCGAGGACAGCCCTACGGCAAGAGTGGCGTTGGCCAATCACTCCCGAGCAAAGCCGTGAGCCGATCGTATTTCACTGTGCAGCGCAAGCCTGACAGAACCTGGAGATAAGGCGCCGGGGATTAGCATCGGTCGGCAGCGTGTCAGCACATCCCAGCCTTGGGACAATGTCCCAATTCAGGGTGTCACTCCGTTGCTTCATGTTACGCGACATCATGTCCTGTGACCAAGTTTCAAGTTTCCCCCGCCTTTGGTGACCAGACCGACCGTGACAGGCAGAGGTAAGGTGCTGATGCAGGTACATTGGATGTGCAATGCCTCGCAGTGGACAGGGTAGTCGTGGGGCCTCAGGCACTCATTGGCTTTCTGCCATGCTTAAGCTTCAAGTTAGCACTTCGTGGTTCAATTCACTCGACGTCCTCAATTCCTGCAGGCCTTCACCCGAAACACGCGGACCCCGAAGCTCTGAATCCAGCCTGACTCGTGCACAGTCTCCACACCACCCAAGCCAGCATAAGAAGCAAAGCCTTGCAAGGTCTTCAAGCACCCAACCTGGATCTCACAATCTCGCCACGTCCCGACTCTAAGTCGACCACAAGAGTCGAAAGCCATGGCATTTCCGGGCTATGCCCTGCCATCGCAGGCATGACGTTTCGCTGCTGGTGCCATCTTATGCTGGCACGTCAAGTCGCTGTACCGACTTGCCAATTCTACCCGTTGCATCAGTCCCAGAACCGACCCCCATCATATTCTAGCTCAGACCATTACCTTGGCATCAGAAAGTAAGTCAAACCTCAGCTTCAACCCGGCTTGAGTTTCATGTTTGGTGAGCGCATGCTCTGGCACCGTAGTTCAGATGTAGTCGGGCTGCGGGCTGGTGTTGTGCGAAACTCGCGCTACTGCCAGAATCTTGCTTCAGGCATCGGTCTTGCGCGCTGCAACCGTTCCGGGAACCGGCCTCGATGCAGTGAAGAGGACGGGCACCGATAGCAGGCATGCCCTTCCAGCCAAAGGGGGTCACTTGAACAAGTTTTGCGGAGTCAGGTCGCACGTCATTTGCAGCAGGCGGCTTAGGTTCACAGATCTCAGCCGTGAGGCTGTGTGCCATCAACGGTGTGCAGCGTGCAGGACCTCGGACACCTTTGACAGCGTTGACTGCAGCTTCGGCGGAAGCTTCGTGGCAGTCATTCAGACGCGGGCGCCGGTTGGAACAACCCGTCTGGACTCGGACAGTCGCTGCAAGACACACAGTAAGACACAGAACCCTGTCAATAAGATAAAAGACACAATAGAACAGAAAGCGCAACATGCGAATTATTTGCACAAGAGAAGCACCGAAGCGATTCTGAAAGCAATCCAAGCACAGGGATGTCGACCGTTTTCGATAATGGACTACGGGTTGTGAGCGCAGGATGCGTGCCTGAGCGAGCAGATAGCCCCACCATGACATGCTTACCTTGTCGCCATCCAACCAAGCGTATTGTCTTGGCATTTCTTACGCCTGAGTTAGTCCGATCCGCTGCTATCAACAGGACTAGACTAGTTCCCCTTGTAATGCCTTTTGTGGTAGCAGTCACCGCCGTTGGGCATCATGCCCCGAGAGGCTACAAGAGTGGCAGTGTTCAGTGTTCAGCTGCCGTCTTTTTATCTATCTGTCTTTCTGTCCTCTCTATCCCTCCTATCTTTCTAGCTATCGATCTAGCTGTCTATTGACCTACTTATCTATTTGTCTATCTGTCTATCCATCTTCTGATTTATATGTGTATCTGTATATTATGCTCATCATACATGCATGCATGCCTGCATTGCATTCATGCATGCGTACGTACCTACGCGCATGCATGGACGCATACGGACGCCGACACGTACACAAGCATGCATAGGTCCAAACAAACATAATCACACATGCATGCAGACATGCATACATACATATACATATACAGATACATATACACATACATATACATGCATGCTTGTGTGCATGATTGCATGCATGCGTACGTACATGCTTGCGCCAGGCAGGTAGGCAGGCAGGCAGGCAGGCATACCGCATGCGCGGTCCTGTGTGGTATCATCTCTCGCTCTCTGCCTCTATCTCTCACTCTGTCCCTTTCTCTCACTCTCTCTGTCTCGCGGCGTCTCTCACTCTCTCTCCCTCTTTCTGTCTCCTTTCCTTTCTCACGCTTGACGGAGTGTACCCTAAACAATCAAGAATTTTTCGAATGAACGAACAAACAAGCAAACAAGTAAACAGACAAATACATAACTAACGGACAAACAAACTAGCTAGCGAACTAGCTATTCAGAGAACTAGCTGAACTAGCTGGCTAGCTAACCACTTACCTACTTACCTACTTAACTAACTTACTAACTGGCTAACTAACTAACCCAACCTGACTTGGTCGAGTGCCAGTGCTCACTAACCTGACTGCTCTTAACTAAGACGCAAGATAGCTAGCCAGCTGGCTCACTATTTTTCTAAGTGACGAACTGACTGGCGAAGTGTCTGACGAACTAGCGAACGAACCAACTGACTAACTAATTAGCGAACTAACTAGTCAACGAACTAACTAACTAACTAACTAACTAACTAACTAACTAAACTAACTAACTAACTAACTAACTAACTAGCTAACTAACTAACTAACTAACTAACTAACTAACTAACTAACTAACTAACTAACTAACATACTAACTAAACTATACATACTAACTAACTAACTAACTAACTAACTAACTAACTAACTAACCAGCTACCTTAACTAGTTAACTAGTTAACTAACTAACTGACTAACTAACTAACTAGCTAGCTAGCTAGCTAGCTAGCTAGCTAACTAGCTAACTCACTGACTAGCCCACCGACTCACTAACTAAACCAACAAACACATAAGTAGATAGAGATAACCAAAACGAAGACATATATATATATATATAACCCAGAAATAAAGACGTACAGATACAATTACACAGTTATTGACATAAAGATGAATATAGATATAAATTTCATGTACTGATAACAGGCACGCATACATGTCCATGCAGTTATTTTTTGAGCGTGTGAGTTGCTCGTGCTCTTTGACGTTGCCGAAGTTTGAGGCGCTCCTCGCATCTGCTCTCCAGCGCGAACAGTGCAGGTGCCTGCGGCTCTCGGCATTGGCTTTGTCGGGCCTATTCCGGTTTCTGCGAGGTGCTGACGCCAGCCCGCTGCTGCAGCCCTGTGCGGGCGACTTCCTGGAGTCAGGACCGACTTTATCCTCGGTTTCAGTCTTCACTGTGGCTTGATGTACGCACTAGGCGCTAGTCCGAAGTACTTTCTGTGATTTCGATTGCAGAGAGGCTTGCAGGAGTCCCGGCATCCGATGGAATGCCCTGAGTGCTTGAGACTTGTATCCGTGCTATACGACCACCACTGATGCTTGCTGAGTGACTGTTTTTCGCAGATTGGGTATGCGCTTGGACCAGAGGACGGCCTGCAGCTTCCGCCGAGTTGGAGGCAGCAGCAGTGCAGTTGCGTTTTTACGTGGTGTGCAATGAAATTGGCAACCTTTCCTTCTCGCTTGGGTGATGTAGGTGTTGTTCTGGAGCCGGAATGCGTACTGTCGTCTTTCAACTGGCAGCACAGCAGCTTGTGCAATCAGGACTTATGGCAGAAAGGCTGCAACTGCAGTGTGCAGTCTGACTCGAGTGAGATGCTCATGATCCTGTTGATGTTTCAGTCTACCTCGTGTTTAATTTTCAGAACCACGTTGCCGGCAGCTTCCTGTTATCTCCCATTTGCCTGCATCCCAGATTGCCTTCTGAGGGGGTTGACGAGCTCGTATGGCAGCGTCGCCCAGAGCCCAGAAGTTTTTCTTTCAATTCTTCTTCCAAGTTGCCCTCTGGAACTAAAGCCGTCACTATGCATCTCTATGAATCCATGTTCCGCCGAGGCTTCTTGGTGAAGGGCGGCTTCTGGTTCAGGGATCTGAGCAGCCGGTTTTGTTTCATGTTCCTGCATTCAGAGATTCGGCAGCGACAGTAAGAATCGACACCTTCCCGCTTCTCAAGATGTCCCTCTTGGCATGTCTAATGAGGAGTTCGGCCTTTGCCTCGACATGGTACAAGATGTGGAAGGGTTTTGCATGAGCATATCATATGGGGCAGCAAGGTCAGTTCAAGCATGTCGACGCCCGTCGTGCAGGCCTTAGACTGCACTTCTTTGATCATGTGGACCTTCTTAGCAATTCGCAGATTC